CGAATAATGTCCACAGAGCTGAGGGAGAGAGGATATTATTTATATATTAAACCGTTCTTGGAGACTTTTCAYGGCCCCTGACAGCTGTAAATGTTTTATCTGCTGTGTTTAAATCACTGCAGAGGAGGGCATTGCCTGGGCCTCAGTGGATATTTCACATGTTATCAATGGCAAGGCAAACCCATCTGTGCTAGGCACTGGGAGAGGGGATTGTTCCTTGCAGGAAATGTCTTCGGCCCGGAGGCTGCTTTTGACAAGCTCTGTCGGGATTTGTCCTGTCAGGATTTCTTCTGGAGCCTTTCAGCCCATCCCTGTGTGTGTCTGTGCCTCCCTTTCTGCCACCAGTGCTCTCCTCAGTCTCTGCTTTATCTCTCTGGGCTGGTGTGGCTGTCCTGGGAAATGCAGATGTGCTGCTGTCCCTCAGTTGGGGCTRTCCCGTTACTGAGCTGATGGGAATGCTGCTGGAATTGGTTCCTTTCTGCCACAGGAGAGGCAGATCCCTGCCATGACCCACCGCAGATAAGCCATAACCCCGGTTCCATCACAGGGATGAGGCTGTTCTGTGTTCCTGYTTCCCAGGTGCTCTCTGACCCTGTGCCTTCTGTGCCTGGGACAGATCTTCTGCTTTGGACGTGTAGGACCGAGGAAACATGTGTTTTATGGGGGTTTCTATCCAGAGTGGCTGGGTGGGGGCAGGACTGAGGCGCCCCACGTGCCTCCAGACCATCTCCTGCTGCTCCTGGGTGTCAAACCTGGCTGGTCCCGGTGCCAGGGATTCTCAGAGGTCAGGATGTGTCTGTCTGTCCCTGTTTGACAGGGAGAGGGTCAGAGGAAAGGGCAGAGCAGGCTCCAGGGAAGGGTAACCACGGCTGCCTGGGGAACGTGGCACAAAGTTCCCCGAGAATACAACGGCAGGTGACAGCCACGTTGGGGAGAAATAGCCTGGGTTTGYCCAATTTACCTTTTGGGAGGTTAATTTTCATTTTATTCATGAGTTTTCTGTTATCAGGAATCTCCTCCTCGTGCAGATGCTTGCAGAAAATCACTGAGTTGGTGCTTAGCATTCCCTTAATTAAATATTTTGATCTTCATCAGTTGCTACAACAAACAGCTCTTGGACCTCAGAYTGTTCTGAACCTCTTTTCAGAACTCCTTCCAAAACTTCAACATGATTTTTTTAATTACTSGCACTAGAACTGGGTACAGCAATCTAATAATAGTGCCCAGTGCCTCGGCCAGGTGTGATTAAAACCTTTCCTTGCTTTAACAGGTACATCCTGCTGATGCTTTCAGGGATTATCCATCAAGGGGCTCAGGAGCATTTGCTTACCTCAAGCCCACCTGGATGCCTCTGTGCCCTGCTGGTGCTGTAGGTTTGGGCTGTAAGGAATGGTGGCRTGTTCCTGCAGCGATTTTATTCTTTCTTTTTATTCTTTCTTATCAGCCTGGAGCTCTGAGTACACGAGTGAGTGTTCTCAGAGTTGCTTCCTTGTCTGGCAGGGTTTCTGCTCCTCCAGGGGCTGCTTTCCAGCTCTCCTGGCTGGAGTGCAGTAGAGGCACCCCTTCTGCCGGACCCTAGATAAATACTACAATAAATATATGTAAATATAAATAAATAAATGTTTCTGTATTGCTGCACCCCAAACTCTTGGCTTGAGCTGTCAAGCTCAGAAGGAAAAAAAAATACCAGAAGTGACTCCTCCTTGCCTTTTCTGATTGCTGATTTCACTAATATCAGAGCAAACACCAAAATACCCTTTTTTTAGTGCTTTTTTTTCTCAGGACACTGGAATTGGTGTATAAAAACCCCCATTCCTTTACTGCACTGTGAAATATGCTGAGCAGACACAGAGGAAAGAATAAACTGAGCCCAGAGAATGAAATTGGCATTTTCAAATCCTTGGATTTGTTGTGATGAGCACCTTGTTGTGTTGATTGCCCAAAGTGAGCTGCCCTTGAAGGGGTTGATTTTGGGGCTGTGCTGACAATTGTTCAGAGTTAGCTCTGTTGGAGATGATTTGAGCTGGCCACCCAAAATCACCGGCTGGTTTTGGAAACTGAGCTCAGATTTCTGTGGTGGGAACAGTGGTAAATACAAAGCAAGCTGCAAGTGAAGCCAGGCAGCTATTGCTGGAAATGAGAGAGGAAAGAAACCCAATTTATTGCTGCCTTGGGCACAGAAAAAAAATAAAAAGAAAAGTAAGAAAAAAAGAGGAAAAATTAAAAAAAGAAAAAAGAAAAAAGCTGGAGATGGGCTTGCAGCACTGATGGCTGCAGAATATCTCCGTGGTCTGGCTCTTTGTCTCATTCTCCTGGCTAAGCTTAAACCAGGCAGTAAAAGTTTGTGATTTGGGTGCAGAAGTGCAAGTCTCAGGCTTTGCCTGTGCCCTGAGCTGCAGCCCTGAGCTGGGTGTGCTGCTGCCTGGCTGGACACCATCTCCAGGCCTGCCAGAAGCTGAGTCTGGGAAAAAAAAGGAAAAAGATAAGGGCAGCTAAAAAGTCCCTCTGAGAGCTGAAGCTGCTTCTCTTGTGCTCCGTTGGTCATTGTGCCTCCATTCCGGGCGATCAGTGGTCCCATTCCCTGGGATCAGTGTCCCCATCCCCTGGGATCAGTGTCCCCATTCCTCCATTTCCTGGGATCTGTGCCCCCATTCCCTGCCCCATTCCCTGGCAATCCCACACTCCTTCCAGAGGGGATGCCAATTGTGCCTTCTCTGGAGCTCCATCTCCCAGCTTTCTCCAGGCAACGCCTGCTCCTTTAAACGGTTCCTTCTCGGGTTTATTTTTTCCTGGGGCCTTGCTGTGCCTGTTTTTGTGCAGTTTGGTGCCAGTCAGCTCCAGCCTCCCCCGCCTCTCTCTCTCTGAGTTTCAGCAGCCCTGGCGGAGCAGGAGCCGGAGCCGGAGCTGGCAGCGGTCCCCGTGCCYGTGTGTGTGGCACACGTGCGGCTCTTTGGGTGGGCACACGTGCCCCTGCTGGAGTTTCAGCCCCTGGTTCCGTGGGGAGAGCAGGGATGCTCACCCTGCCCTCACCTGCAATATTTCCATGCAGAGAAGCAGCGGTGGCTCATGTGATGTGTCACGCCAGAAACTTCAGGAAAGTGATCCATTCCAGCAATGTGTGATTCTAGGACTGRAGAACCAAAAATACGGGCTCTTACTCATCTCTGCATCTCACAGCACAGCTTAACCTGAACCCTTCATCTGTTTACACAGCCAGAAGGAGGGTGCTCAGTGTCAAGAGCCGCTGTTGCTACATATGGAGCGTAATTACTCGCTTTATCATTTATTTTTGTTATTTCTGTGCCAATATTGGCCAGGAGCTCGAGTTAGGAGATGGGCATGATGCAGGAACAAAGAGCTTGAAGCTTGGGAGAGCAGAGCTGAGTAATTGTGTTGAGTAGGTGTGAAAGCTCCGATGTGTTTGTTTCATGATTCCCCAACATCCACAGTGTTTTCTCTGCTCAATGCTTTCTCCTTCTGCATGAATGAAATCGCCATTTCTGCACGGGGGGCTCTGTGTGTTCCATGTGTCTGGGCATATTCGCTCTTCCCTCACCCTGCTCTGCCTCTGGGTGAGCCCGAAATCAGGGATATTGAGCTGAGACACCCCAGGGTGACCCGGTGCAGGGTTTGATCCCTGGAACAGGGTGCTACTGGAACAGATCTGCTGTTTGCACCTCAGCCAACTCGGCAAGCTGGGCTCTGGGATCCCTTGGCCCTTGGGAGGGGTCTGGAGTAGGGAAGGGTTGCTTGGGGTCAGGGTGAATCCCAACGCTGATCCTGTGCTTGTCTGCTGGGATTGGTGGGGTGCTTGACCAGGTTTCTGTCCAGATTAGCAGGGAAGTTTGTCCCTAAGGCGCAGAAAGCTCATTTTTGGTGACAGTGGAGCAGTCCTGCAGTGGTCACATGGTTGGCTGTGTCCTCTGGGTTCAGGTGGCTGCTCCATCTGCACCTGGGCAGCACATATCACCTGTAATGTGGGGTTTTTTTGTCAGTGAATTAATTCGTACCAATATGAATGATAGATTGCTGCTCCATCCTGTTACCACTCCATGCTTTGTACCCTGCAGCTGTGGGAAATACCAGCTTTTTAATTTTTTTTTTTAAATTTTTGCAGAGATTGTGTCCTGATCCTGGTGTGGCATCTCGTGTTTCTGTAACCCATGGATGTGTTTGCCCTCACCAGAGTAACTCCTGTGATTTGCTGTCTCAATAACCCCTGCAAGCCTCTGTGCTCAGTTCTGTCTCATCAGATCAAAGAAAGCACTAATTTCAGTGCGTTTCCGTGGTGAATCACCTGAGGCTTTCACAAACGGTGCAGTYGAGCTCTGATTTACCTGATGTTGTTTTATCTGATGAGTAAATGATCTCTGTTTGATGGGAGCAGCCAGGAGCACAGCTCTCAGGTGTTTGTGGTGCTGCCCTGAGTTCACCCAGGCAGCTCCCGTGTGTGGGTTCTTATCTCTTTATCAATCTTTAATTGTCCAAAGTCCCTCTCCAGCTCTCATGAGAGGGGGAAAAAGCAGAAAAAAGCCATGTGCCAGGAGAGTGGYACCAAAATACCAAATTGTTTTGTTTTTCATGGTGTGTTTTTATCCTGTTTAATCATGCAAAGCCAGCGCTTGGYTATATTTTAAGCAAAGTGTCATGGAAGGAGATCATCTCCAAACCAAAGCCAGGAAAAGCCAGACATGTAGAAGTTGTCAGCAGCAGCCTGAGGAGGTTTTCTGAGAAAGCAGCTGCAGCTGCAATAAATGAGCTGGTTACTGGGATTGTCTCCTCTCCTTTGTTGCTGATTTCCTTGCAGTAATTTTTCACTGTCACTGGACGAGGAAATAAAGGATGGGAGAGTTGGAGGAGCAGCTTTGTCTGCGCGGTGCAGCCGTGCCCCTTGAGAGTGACATCATTTTGATTTCTGCTTTTTTTCAAGTTGTTCGTACAAAGTTAGAGCAGCAAATCACCGAGGTGACCGCTGACAATCCCCTGTGCTCTCTCCTCAGGTGGCAGTGAAGGTGATCGACAAGAAGAGAGCCAAGAAGGACACGTAYGTCACCAAGAACCTGCGGCGGGAGGGGCAGATCCAGCAGATGATCCGGCACCCCAACATCGCCCAGCTGCTGGACATCCTGGAGACAGAGAACAGCTACTACCTGGTCATGGAGCTGTGCCCTGGCGGCAACCTGATGCACAAGATCTACGAGAAGAAGAGGCTGGAGGAGCACGAAGCCCGCAAGTACATCCGGCAGCTCATCCTGGCCGTGGAGCACCTGCACCGCGCCGGCGTCGTGCACAGGTAACCCCTTCTGCAGGGCTGGAGTTTCCATCAGATTTGTGTCAGATCTTCGTGTTGTAAGGAGATTTCCTTGTAAAAATGTGTTCCTGGGAGCTTTCTGGCTGCTCTTCACCRTGCTGTTTGGCTGCTCTTTAGGGGATTGATGCAGAATGCACCTGAGCAGCTTCAGGTGAGCACASGGGAGCTGTGCTGGCTCTGTGACCCGGAGCTGGACTCTGCAAAAACACTCAAAAATGTCACCCTGTGCATCCCTCTCCAAACTCTCCTTGTAGGAGCAGCATGTACCTCTCCTGGCAGGAGCATGCTGAGGATTCAGGGCAAGCAGCATGGAAAAGGAGCAGCTGCCCCTGCCTGGAGCCCATGGGCAGCAGTGACTGTCCCTGTGCCCCCCTGTGCTGCCGTGGGGACGGGAGGATGCTGGGCTGGCCGGAGCCCGGGAGCCAGCCTGCCTCCTGTCCCTGCTGAGCTGTATTTATAGGGTGCTGTGCTAAGAAGGAGCCTCTGCTTTCTAAATTTGGGCCAGCTGGTGCCGAGTCTGGGCTCCCACACGGCTCCCAAATGGTGCCAGCRAGTTGTGTGGGCTCCATCTCCGAGGCTGTGCGGGAACGTGGCGGGAGCCAGACACCAGGGCGCTTTTGGGGTCTGTGGGCCAGAAACCAGGGTGCTTTTGGGGTCTGTGAACCAGACATTGGGGCGCTTTTGGGTCCGTGGGCCAGATATTGGGGCACTTTTGGGGTCTGTGAACCAGACACCGGGGCTCTTTTGGGGTCTATTGGCCAGATATCGGGGCGCTTTTGGCGTCTGTGGGCCAGATATCAGAGTGCTTTTGGGTCTGTGGGCACAACCCAGACATTGGGGCACTTTTGAGGTCTGTGGGCACACTCTGGAACCCAGACATCGGGGCGCTTTAGGGTCTGTGAACCAGATATTGGGGCACTTTTAGGGTGCTTTTGGGGTCTGGGGGCCAGATATTGAGGTGCTTTTGGGGTCTGAGCCAGATATTGGGATCAGGGGGCCAGACACCGGGCGCTTTTGGGGTCTGTGGGCCAGATATTGGGGTGCTTTTGGGGTCTGGGGGCCAGATATTGGGACACTTTTGGGGTCTGGGCCAGACACCAGGGCACTTTTGGGGTCTGTGGGCCAGATATTGGGACACTTTTGGGGTTTGTGGGCACATTGTGGGAACCCAGAGATCGGGGTGCTTTTGGGGTCTGTTCATCTTTTAGCAGCAGGACCGGGTCAGCGGCAGCAATTCCTGTCCCTGAGGAATTCACCCTGTATGCAGCAGCCAGGGCTCCTACAGGGAGCTGGTGGTCCTGGCTTTGATTCCTTCCTTTCCTTCTGCAAGCAGAGTGTGCAGAGCAGCATAGAGATGCAGGAAGAGCCCTGCTGGTGCCGTTTGGATTTATTCCCCTGCGTCTTTGCGAGCGAGAGGGGGAGAAAAATTAACAATTACCTCAGGAGCTGTCCTTCAGCAGCTCTAAAAACAGGCTACTCAATCAGCTACTGAGGCAGRGAAAAAATAGTGCAGGAGTCTGATTCATCCTGTGCCCGGCTGCAGTGGCAGCGTTCTGTTGTTTTTGTTGGTATTTTTAAAGCAGGTAAAAATACCGGCGCTTTGGTGTGCGTGGGCATCCGGGGGCGTCCGGGTTTGCCACGTGTGGGACAAACCTCAGCGTCCTCAGCCTCAAAAGGGGCTGCTCTGTCTCTCCAAAGGCTTCACCTGGAGTGGGGCACTGGAAAGCTTTCTATTGGCTTTTTTATAGATATAGATATATATCTTTAAAAAATATGTTTTTGTATCTATATATATTTTAAAAATCGTTGGTTTTGCCTCCAATTATTCAGGGAATAATGTAGATGGCTTACCCTGTTCTACTCTACAGGAKGAAAAATCCCAGATGGAATAAGTTGCATTAGATTTGCTTGTGTTATTGATGACTATTACTTAGAAAACTTCCTGGYTCCCAGTCCAGACTGGGCATGGCAGGAAGGCACTCAGATCACTGGTTTTTGGGAAAGAGCAGGGACCCAGAATTCCGTGGAAATTATTTTGTTCAGAGGCACTGATGTGTGAACAGCCTGAAATTAAAGAACTTCAAGAAACCTCGTTTTTATTTAGAGATGTAAAAATCCCTGCAGGCTCATGTTTGACTGTCTGGATGTGTTTTAAAATGACAAATTTAAAAAAAAATTAAAATATATCATCTGCCAAGATGGGTGAGGTCTGCAAGCTCCAGAGTGCAGAAGCTGCATCTCTGGTGAGGGGTGCCCGGGGTTCAGAGCTGCCTGGAACAAAATGCCACTATTCTATATTTAATTCCATGTTATCGTTTGGGCTGCTATTCCCATTCCCTCGATTGGGAGAGCTGCTTGGCTGCTGCTAAAAATACGCTCGCCACCAGCTCAGCTGTGAATCAGGTAGGAATATTTATCTTTCCCTCTGACAGAGGGAAACAGAAGCAAAGGCAGGGTCTGGGGGAGCTTTCACAGGGTGTTCACACAGAAAGCAGCAATGAGCCCCAGGAGAAGGAGTGAGAGCCTCCGTGTATCCCACAGGAAATTCTCAGCAACCCTTTTAAAGTCATTTTCACCGAATTTAGCGCTATTCAGGGCAATTACTGTCAGGTTGTCAAAGGAGAGAAGTTAACCTGTGTTGGGAGCAGAGGTGGCTTTCTGGATTCCCCCTCTTTCTGTGGGGAAAAGCCCATAAATACCTCTTTAGTCCTGT